AAAAAAAAAAACACAAGTATTTAAAAGATATATAGTAGCAGGTAAAAGGTGGCAACCATCACGTCACCATAGCAAAGGGGCAATAGTCAAAATAACAAGTCTAGTACATCACCAAGGGAGAACGAGGTCGGCTACTTTGAGTTTGGGCCACATGCGTGAAGAAGGCACGGAGCGGAGCAAGGAGGTGGAGCGGCCCAAGACGTCTCACCTCGACCCAAGACACCTCGGCTTAGGACACCTCGGCCCAAGACACCTCGGCTCAGGACACCTCGGCCCAAGACGCCTTGGCATAAGGCACCTCAGCTAAAATTTGGAGCTCGGAATTTTCCACCTAGGGGGCTCAGGTCGGCGCACGGATACTCTCATTCGTTGACTTCCACTCGCAACGAAAAGAGTGGGGGACTCATGATGGATATATTATACCCATGAATCGACCAGGGGTAGCAACGCGGACCCGGAGCACCACGGTGGAGCCCAAGAGCAACGCGGACCCGGGGCACCACATGGGAGCCCAAGAGCAACACGGACCAGGGGCATCACGGAGGTGCCCCGACCCGACCCGAGCCACGTGAGGCTCGGGTCGGATGGCACGACCCTACCCGAGCTCGGCCCATAGCGGGCTCGGGTAGGGTAGCTCGGCATTACTCGAGCTCGGGACCCGACCCGACCCGGTCCACCCGGGCCCGGTCAAAGTAGTGATCTAACCACCCCCTGATTTAGGGGGAGGCGGTTGGGGGGTTTAGCTTGTATAAAACCTCCCTCCTTGTCCTAACAAGGGACATTCTATCTACATTCTACATTTATTACACACTTTATCTAACCGAATCTTTGTAATAGCCAATTCCTACGGCAATTAATATAATATACGGTCTCACGGCCTTTTGCTATATCGTTCTATATTATTTATATATTATTTATATTACGTTCTTATCCGGATTTATTGATTCGGGTCCACCTCGGATTAATTAAATCCATCATACACAAAAACAAATCCTTTATATAATAAAGCTATATGGTTTGGGAAATAATTAATATTACAATTAATGCCACAACATCCTTTATTATAAAAATAAAAAAATAAAAAAATAAAAAAAAAAAAAAAAAAAACACACACACACACACACAACATTTAAAAAATAAAATAGCTATATATTATATAATCATATAAAAATATACTTTTAAAAAATAAAATAGCTATATATTATATAATCATATAAAAAATGTGTTCAATTAGAGTTTAAATTTACACATACAAAATTTGAAATTTGCTTTCCAAATGTAATTATCTTAGTTATTATTTGTATTGTGAAAATTATAATATAGATGAAATACAATTAAGAATAAATCAATATAATTATGTAAATTATCTCTATAAGTTTATTTGAATATGCACATAATTATAGATTATATTAACCATACAAAATTTTAATTTTAATTTTAATTTTAATTGTAATTTTGTATTCTATAAAAATAATAAATACTTGACCAATGGAAGCTCAAAAATATTATTATATTAAATAATTTAAAATATTTTAATTTTTCTATTTTTTATTTATATTTATAATAACATAATTTTTTCCGTGCATCGCCCGGGTGAATTACTAGTTATGAATAAAAGAAGTCCATTTTGCTCTATGTCATTACTACTACTCCATTGTTCATATATTGATATACACCCTAGATACATAAATACGGGATACACCCTACGTATACAGAAATTAACCGTATCACATATCTCCCTGTTTAGTAGTATAAAGCTCTACGAAATGATTAATCATAAGATTATTCATCGCCCCTCCTATCCGCACTTCTTACTCTTATAATTTGATTGTTTCTTCTCCTCTTTTGAATAAAATTATAAAAGAACTTGGAGTTGATGTCATCCCTTTTTAAACCAAAATTCTTTTACACGCTGTTTCCATGAGGAATTGATAAAGTTTTGTTGTGCCTTACAAACACTCTATTAAGATGTATTTATTAACTAAAAAAATTCTTTATTTTGATTGAAAAATGAAAATTAAAAAAAAAAAAAAAAAAAAAAAGTATACTTTACATTGTGGCAGAACAGAAAAATTGAAAAAGAAAGGAAAACTTAAGAATTAAGTAAAAGAAACAATACATTGGTTCTTACGGTGACACATTAAGGGGGCATTTGGTTCAGGTTATATTTGCTTAGTAATATAAGATTCTCATGTTTGGTTCAGGTTATGTAACTTTTCCAAGGAATGTCAGATAACCTCTGCATTAAGTTTTTAGTTATTGGAAGGGAATGTGAGATACCCTCAAATTTCTTAGGTAATCTCACATTCCCTTGTCTTATTACTAATGCTGGGCTTTGGAAGTTTTAATCAATTTGTCTTATTACCCTTGTCTTATTTACATATCTTAGTTTTAAACCAAACACAGGAATCTAATATTCCCAGTAATCTAATATTTCCAACAATCTAACATTCCCTGAGGTAATCTAACATTCCGTGAACCAAACGTCCCGTAAGAGTCATTTAGAAAGCAGCAAAATGACTTCTGGAAAATATTTTTTAGAAAACGATTCATTTTTCGGATAACATTTTCTTTTTCAGTGTTTGGTTGCATTTTGAAAAATATAAGAACGGATAAAAACTGAGAAATTGAAAGTAACAACAGCAGCGAAGGCAACCATGTTTTGAATGTTGGCAGAAAATGATTTAGGTCAAAATTTGAAATAAGTCATTATCTACAAAAATATTTACGTATTTTTCAGCCAATGAAAAATATGTTCTGTTAATTAAATTTTTCAATTGTATGCAAATACTGAAAACTCGAAAAATATTTTTTAGAAATTATTTTTCGATTTCCAAACGGATTTTGAGGAATAAGAAACGAAGGAATATAGTCAAGAGAATATATCCAAAAACGTGAGACGAACCGTGTATGTGTGTGTGACGTCGCGGCTGGAAGCTTTTGCCTAATGTAAAAGCCACGACAAACCCACACGTGACACGTTACGCGGCCACAGCTTTGCTAAGCAACCATCCATTTCACTTTTACCCAACAAAAATGTGTTATTCAAGAAATGGTCCTCCAATTTTCTTACAATTACAAATGTGATCTTCAAATTACAGTGCTCTCTCTCTCTCTAACCAAACACCAGGCACCAACCATTTAGATGTCCTTCAGTTCTTGCAAATCATGGCTCATCCTATTGTTTTATAGGCTTGGGATATAATTTTTTAATTTAAAATTTTGACTTTAATATATGAAGTCAACGTATATGAAGCATGAATAGTTTGTCAAATTCAACAAATTTATTATTATTTTTATTTTATTTTATTTTTTTAGCTTCAAAGGTTATAGTAGTTAATTGAAAAAAATATATTTTAAAATCATGATTCAAACATTTTATGTATGATTTTTTAAAATTATTAAATATTTTAAACTCTCGAACTAGCTTAGGACCAAAGGTCTATTCAAGCATTGGGCCTTGGGCAAGGACGCAAAGTTTAGGACTAAATTATTACGATTTTAATTATAAAATTAGACATTTGAACTAATTTTCATTTTAAATTTAAAATTAGTCCAAAATATAATCCGTATAATTTAAAAATCAAATATGTGAAGATTAAGTTCGAATTGAAATTTGAAATATCATTGGGAAGCCCTAAGGACTAAGGTTCTAGTTTCTTAACCGGAATAGGAATCAAGACCCTTATTATTGCTAAATCAATAACTAATCAAATGCAAATTGAGCTAAAGGCAAATTATTGAATTGTCATCTAAAAGGTTTAAAGGTATCAAGGACCTTGTGGATCACTAATACCCGGTTGCTTCTCTATGTGGGAGGTGGATGGTTTAAGTGTCAGTGGAGGTGATTATGGTATCATTTGATGTAATAGGTTGTATCCCTCTTCCCTTATAAATATAAAAATAAGAAAGTTTAGAGGTTGACATTATAAAATTTGGCTAATTAATACTCCCATTTTAAATCCTCATTACTATTCATTGGTCAAACTAACTTAACTTAATATTATGAAAAATTGAAAAAAAAAATAATAACTTCAGTTAAGCTTCGCTAATCGAACCATACACATAAAATGGGATGGGGAAGTATTATCCAACAATCTTTAGGCAATCTACATTAGTGGATTTTGGACCAGATTTTGAGGAAATGTGAGTGATGTGGAAGAGAGAGGTAATGGGGAGAAAATAAAAAAATCTTCTTGTAAGGAGATGTTTTTTCAGAAAAAGTGAGTCCCTCCATGTGCATTCATTCCTTGCGTGTGGTCGCGTGTAGTGCAACCAATGCGCCCACCCGGGCGCGTTAATTTGCTTTGTTTCTTCTTCTTCTTTTTTCATATTTATTTTAGTTTTTTTTTTTTGTTTTTTTTTTCTTTTTCTCTTTCCATCCTCTCCTCGTAGTTGGCACCTCAAATATCGATTCAAAAACCTCACTATTAAGGATGTCCTTATAAGGTATACAATAAATACGTCATATTGACATGATATTTCAAATCTCTTTCCCAAAATGTTGAATCTCCAACTCGGCCCAATAAAATATTTGAAAAAATGTAAATTACGATAACTCAGTTCAATAAACAGACAGGGTCAAACATCTGTGCACACAAGAAAAATATTTACTTTAAACATAATTCATACACTATCACTGTCAAATTTAAAATCTTTATCTTGACCCTCAAATAATGTTTACTAAATTAGTAACTTAAACCCATACAAATATTCCAAATCTCGACACACCTAATTGTCATACTAACCGTCATAATTCTTTTGTAATTACTCTAATCACCAAAAAAAAAACATGTAGATTTCTATAATATTAAATAATAAAGAGGCACAAAGGGCGATTCTCAGATTTCTCGAGATTTTCATAATCAACCCGAGGATTTCAAGCTAAGACTAATACTAACGTGCGACCCACGACGATTCTAATACACATATCCCATGTCGTATATGATGTCGTGTCAACATCGGTTCCCACTTTACGACTCTAAAACGTCCATATATATATCAAAGACTTCTTCGTGTATAAAGTCTCCGATAATACTATAACAGATTCTCTTGCAAAACGATTCCCCATTTTGTTTCTTCTTTTGACGAAATGGCAGGCACCAACAACGGCAACGATCACGGCGGCGTGACTCTTGAAACGGTGCGGGCGAGCCTGATCCGACAGGAGGACACCATCGTTTTCTGCCTCATCGAGAGAGCCAAATTCCCCAGAAATCCCACCTTGTACGACCAGTCTGCTCCTGTGGTTCCGACCACGTTGTCGGCCTCCTTGTTCCACTTCATCTTTAAAGAAACCGAAGCTCTTCAATCCAAGGTGCTGTCTCCGTCTCCATCTTTCTCCTCAACTAACTCCCCATCTGCGTTTTCTTCTGCTTAGCTTCTTCCCAAATCTTCTAGCATAGTTTTAGATTCTCGGGATGAATTTGAAAAATTTTGGTAGAAAGAAATGAGTTTATAATCTCATTGGTTAGATTAACAATTTGGCGGAGGCCGGTAAGGTCAAGTCTAGCTGGATGGGTGAAGATTGTTTGGCGAGATTAACAAAGGACTTAAAAATCAAGCCCAGCACTTAGTATCTTGAAAATGTGTAACGGAAAATAAAGTATTTAATTTTAACAAAAGGTATTAAAGGTAGATCATAGATTTGAGCACTAGATTGGTTGGTGTCGGAAGGAAGAATTGTGGGGCGGATGTATGGCGGTATAAGGAAATATTAAATTTATGTTTTGACTACTAATTATAGCTGTATGTGCTTGATTTGTTAGTGGTATCAGAGTCAGATTATAGGTTCGAGGTTCGAGTTCCTGCCTCAGCAATAAGATTTAGGTTCTGTTTGGTAAATGGTTGTTAGCTGTTAGCAGATTGGGTTAATTAGAGGATATATCTAGTGGATAACATTAGCTTATTGTAGAAAGATGTTTGATAAATTACCTGTTAGCTGATAGTTGTTTGGTATAATTTTTTTTCTCAAAAAGCTAATTGAAATGGCTGCTTTGAACAGCTTTTTGAATTTTAACATTTTAAAGTTAATTTTTTAATCAAATCAAACAATTAATAATAGTCAAATCAGCCAAAATTAGTTGATAGGCTAATATTTTACCAAATGCCATCAGCTGGTTGGTATCTAAAATCTAGTTGAATTGTTGATCTAACATAAACTAACGTACATAACAGGTTGGGAGATATCTATCTGCAGAGGAAAATCCTTTCTTCCCAGATGATGTCCCAGAATCGTTGGTGCCAGCCGCCGGCAAGCTTGAACCAGTACGTATATATATAGATTAACCTAGGAATATAATTGAAGTGTCTAATGTAGAAATTGAGAATCTAACGTGAGGTGGGTGTAGTTCTTGCATCCTGTTGCAGATTGTATCAATGTGAATGAGAAAATCTGGGATGTGTATTTGAATCAGCTGCTTCCACTTGTTGCGGTTGAGGGGGATGATGGAAACTATGCTGCTACTGCTGCCACTGATATCCAGTTCTTGCAGGTAATCAATTCTGTTTCTCAACTCTCATTTCGCTTCATTCCAAAAGCAATGAAGTTGGGATAACCCAACCAAGATGGCTAAAGATACAAATTCGTAACGAGTTTGGATCCCAGCATTTTTACTTTGAACCGTTAGTTATGAACAATTTAAATTGGTTTACCTCCTTATGATCATTTGTCGGCTAGAGTCACAAAACTGGATTTACCCAATGCATATCATCAAAGAAAGCAATGAAATTGGCGTAACCCAAAACACTTGATTTGGTAATCTTAAGATTACAAATTTGACTCTCAACCGACAAATTATTGTGTGGGTCATGGTCCATAAAGTGTTATGTGGACTATAACAAAAAGTACATTATTTGTATATTGAATGTACATTACACAAAATAATTTACTTTTAGTATTGAAATAATATATTTTTCCTGAATACAATATACATTTTTAATATACTAAAGGTACATTATTTCTGTATTAAATGTATATTATTTAATAATATGATTCACAAAGGTGTGTGAACAAAAACTTGACCATGAATGGTGATTGAATTTATTAAATGTTTGTTGCAGGCACTCTCTAGAAGGATACATTATGGGAAATTTGTGGCCGAGGTTAAATTCAGGGAAGCTCCTGATGATTATACACCAGCTATTCGAGCTAAGGTGTATATATATATATATATATATATATATATATATATATTTTTCACCACATCATTTATTTCAAATTCAACTAAAAACATCATCATCTGCAACCTTAGCTGCATCTTGGGGCATAACAATTCAAACATTATTGTTAAGATGAAGCAATTACTGGCCCTGCCCAACAATTCTCTTCTTTGAGCACCAATCATCCCGTGACTTTATTCCAATATTACTTGTTACGGTCAAGCTCTTATCACTCACGCCAAAAGCTATAGTTAGTAGCAAAGGCGCAACTTATTTCTTTATAGACCGCTATCACATTGTTTGGATGTTGGATTTGGCTCTTAAGGACTTCACTGGCCTCCGCCCAAAAATCCCCAGACACCGGGTACTAAACATGGCCCTTTTACCGGACATGCCCAACAATTACAATTAATTTGTGTTATGTTTGCAGGACAGAGATGCTCTGATGAAGCTTTTGACATTTGAAGCTGTGGAAGAGATGGTGAAGAAGAGGGTGGAGAGGAAAGCGAGAGAGTTCAGCAAAGAAGTGAAGGCGAATGGGAGTGATGAGGCAGAAAAGTGCAAGGTTGATCCATCGTTGATGTGTAGGCTATATGCAGAATGGGTGATCCCTCTAACCAAACTAGTTGAAGTTGAGTACCTTCTAAGACGGCTTGACTCTCAATTTTAAGGTTCTTGTGTTTTAGATTAATGAATAATCCATCCTTGGCACTCAAATGTTTCTTTTTTTTAGTTTTAGGCTATCATGTTATGTTTTCAAAATAAAAGAGGCTATCATGTTAGGCAAATTATGTTGTGCATTCGTGTGCACCATGCATGGTGCATACGGATGCAAAAACGACGTCGTTTTATTAAAAATATGCGTCCTACTTAAAAAAAAATTCAGTTTCAATTCTCACAACAACATTATGTTGTGCATAATTTGAATTATATATCCAGAATCAATGAACTAAAAATCCAGAATCTATGAACTAAAAATACATAATGAATGAACTAAAAATACAGGATGAATGAACTAAAAATCCATAATGAATGAACTAAATATCCAACATGAATGAAAAAAAAAAAATAGTTTCGATTTACGTCTAAATATCCAGAATCAATGAACTAAAAATTCAGAATCAATGAACGAAATAAAAATTCAGAATCAATGAACGAACTAAAAATCCAGAATCAATGAACTAAAAATCCAGAATCTATGAACTAAAAATTCAGAATGAATGAACAACATAATACTGTTGAAGGGAATCGAAATTGAATTAAGTAAAATGCGCGTTTTTAGTCAAAACAATATCGTTTTTATATCCGTATGCGTCATATATGGTGCAGATGTACATCATAACGATCCATCATGTTATGGGTGAATAAGACCACAATGAATGCCCGAGAAATTATTGGTTCCAAGTTCCAACTGCTGCAATAAATATTCATTACTTATGTCAACCAACTCTGACCTCCCCATCCTATACAAAACTAGGAGTTTTAGTACAACCGAACTATTGGGTCGAATTTGAAATAAACTTAACCATAAGCCAACCCACAAGGTCTTGTGGGGAACCTCTCAATCGACACCAGGAAGTATTTTTACACCATCGATCGACATCAACATCGACTCATCCTAACATTAGATCTGGCCTTGGACAAGGCCAGGCAAGCTTGACCATTGACCAGGCCCATGCTGGGAGGGGATTACCCCACTCCCTACGTTTGTGCGTATATATATATATATATATATATATATATATATATATATATATATATATATATATATATAAGTAAGCAATATACACAAATTTAAATAAAGATTATGTAACTTAGTTGGTAGATCAAATAGTTTTCGTTGCAAAGGTCGCGAGTTCAAAATTTATTATTGACGCTTTAGAAATATTTGTCCTCTATACACTATAACAGTAATTTATAACCACATTTTTAATAAATTTTATAACGTGTATTTTTTTCATGAGCGTTATAATGAGTTTTTTGCCCAAAAAATTTAAGCTCCCACCACCGGGGTTCAAACCTATGCCACCATTAGAAATGATAACTGAGATGTCATCACACTAGATGGTAGTTGGTGAGTGTAGAATACAAACAACTAAGAAGAAGAGAAAAAACTGATATATCATGTCTTGTGTGTAAACCTCAATACAAGCACTCTATTTATAGTGCCATCAAGATATTATATTGAAATAAATACAAAGGAGAAAACAAAGAGACATGGGAAAGCAAAGAGATGGAAAACAAAGGGATGGAAATCAAAGAGACACAAGATGATTAATATCTTGGAAATATCTCAACACCCCCCTCTCAAGTTGGAGCATGCGGATTTGAAATACCCAACTTGTGAAGAAGAAACTCAAATTGCCTTTGCCCAAGAGCCTTTGTGAAGATATCATCTAATTGCGAATTGGTAGGAATGTAGGAAGGGAAAATCAAACCATCTTTAATTGCATCTCGAACAAAATGACAATCCACTTCAATGTGTTTTGTTCGTTCATGAGACCGGATTCTTTGCAATAAGAAGAGCCGATTGACTGTCACAAAACAATTTTATAGTTTTAGGATGATGAACCCCCAGACTTAACAACAAGCCCTTTAACCATTTGAGTTCACAAGTAACGGCCACCATAGATCTGTATTCCGCTTCTGCAAAAGAACGAGAAATAGTATTTTGTTTCTTTGTTTTCTACGAGATTGGAGAATGGCCAAGAAATACCAACCAACCAGTAAGAGATCGCCGAGTAGTAGGACATGCAGCCCAATCCGAATCATACATCCCTGTAGTGTTAGATCACTGTCTGCTCGTAGGAGAATCACTTGACCCGGGGTACCTTTCAAATAACGGACAACTCTCAGAGCTATCTCCCAGTGCTCATCATGCGGTTCCTGCATGAATTGAGACAACACATTAACAGAGTATGCGAGATCCGGTCGGGTTACGGCCAAGTAGATAAGTCTTCCGATAAGATGCCGATATGCTGCAGGATTAGAGAAAATTGGGCCACTAGCTAGGCCGAGTTTTGTGGTTTTGCTCAATAGGAACACTAACCTGCTTGGCCCATAACAATCCTGCTTCAGAAATAATATCAAGAGTATATTTTCTTTGACACAAAAATAGTCCAGAGGCACTACAAGCAACCTCAATACTAAGAAAGTACTTTAGAGAGCCGAGATCTTTCATATGAAAACAATCAATGAGATAAGCCTTAAATGTCTTTAGAGCAGCAGAATCATTCCTAGAAATGATGAGATCATCGACATAAACAAGTACATTTATCTTAATTCCACCCCGAGCGAAGGTGAATAAGGAGTAGTCAGAATATGATTGTAAGAAACCATACCCTTTCAAGGCCGTAACAAGTTTTGCAAACCAACACCTTGGTGCCTGCTTTATTCCATACAAGGACTTGCGCAATCGACATACTAATTTAAGATCGGATGCCTCAAAACCTGGGGGAAGCTTCATGTACACCTTTTCATCGAGATCGCCGTGCAGAAAAGCATTGTGCACATCCATCTGATGTAGTTCCTAGTTTTTAGAGGCTGCAATGGCAAGAAGCACACGAACAGTAGTCATTTTGGCAACAGGAGCAAAAGTTTCAGTGTAATCGACGCCTTCTTCCTGATGATTACCAAGAGCCACTAATCTTGATTTGAGCCTTTTAACCGACCCATTTGAGATATATTTGATTTGATACACTCAACAACTCCCAATAGCCTATTTCCCAACTGGGAGATGCTCAAGAATCCAAGTTTGATTGTCTTCCAAGGCTCGAATTTCATTTTTCATAGATTATTTCCAACCACTGTGTGTCATCACCTCCTTAAAAGATTTTGATTATGTGCTAAAGGATAGGGAGTACCTGAGGCCATTCCTTGGGTTCTTAGGCCGTGAAGCTTCCTGCGGGGAAAATGCAGAGATCTGTACATTTGGGGGTGGCTTGAGACCCAAGGGTGGAGTTGTGTGAGAGCCATTGCTTAGGATTGGAGTTGTGAAGGTTCCCTCGGGTCAAAATGCAGAGATCTGTACCGAGGGAGCTAACCCAGGTTCTAAGGGTGGCTGGGAGCTAGATTGGGCCTAAGCCATAAAGGGCATCAGTCAGCAAATTATACCGTAGATCGCGGTCTACAATGCATTGTGGTCCAAGCATCAAATATGCATTGTAGTTTCATTTCAACACAATTATAGTATCATTTTGATATAACTACAATTTCACCGGACAATATACACTCAAATATGTGAAATTGTTATTTCAGTTTAATTTTATATACACTGCAGTTTTATTTCAATTTAATTGCAGTTTCATTTGATAATATAATAAAAATAATACGTGAGATAGTGTCAGTTTAGATACACTATAGTGTCAACCGTTTTAGACTATGGTCCACAAAACTTTGTGGACCGCGATCCACAGTATAATTGTTGGGCGTCGGTCCCACCCTATTGTGTGAGGCAAGGAGCATGAGATTGATTTAGTTTTTGCATGTGATTGTTTGTGTTGGATGTGATTGGGCTTTGAAGATTACCTTGGGCATATGTTGATGAGCTGACTTATTATGTTGAGATAGCCCAGTGGGCCTGGAGGTTATAGAGTATATTTGTATGGTTTATAGAACATGGCTCACTTTTGGGCCAGACTTGTACATACTTTTGAAATATATCAATAAAAAGGGAAGTATATTAGGTAATTATGTTAATAAATAATTTATATTTTGGTACATTAATTTCGGCCAATTAGTATATTGAATTAATTTTTTTAATTAATTTTGAATCTTTCCCGCACGAACTACGTACACAACAAAGTCTTATAAATAATTTTAAGATTATTTTTTAATGTAAATTAAACCTAAACTCGTCTATGCTTTCTTGTCACTTTGTTTTGCATTACTTGCAATTGCAAGGGTTGCATGTGCAGTTGTCCCAACACTTGCCCCCATTCTCAGTTGCGACCTCCCCCATCAAAGATCCCTTCAAGTCGCTACAAAACACAAACAATTCATTAACCACTGAAATCCTTAATCCCAAAAAAAAAAAAATGTAAAACTCTAGAAAGATACTTACGCTTTCATGGGTGCAACACTAAGAACCAGGGTCTTAGTGGCGGCCTTAGAATTGTTCATGTATGGGTACATCTTAAGAGTGACGATGATTAACACATTAATTTTGCTTCACAAAATAAAATTATGAATTCTTCCCCAGTATTAACCAAGATGATCGGTCAGTATTGGATAATCCTATCTCTGCGGAGGAAGTCAAGGCAGCATTATTTAGCATGGAACCTTGCAAGGCTCCGGGCCCAGACGGCTTCAGTGCCGCATCCTACCAGAACGCATGGAGTGTAGTAGGAGAGTCTATTATCAGTTTTATAAGAGCTTTTATGGAAAAAGGAGAGATGCCGGACCATTGCAATGACACGGCAATAACCTTGATCCCCAAAGTGCCTTCACCGGAATTGGTGAAACAGTTTCGCCCAATAGGTCTCTGTAACGTCACTTACAAGATCTTAACCAAAGTATTGGCTTCTAGACTCAAGGACATATCCAGCAAACTAATTGGTCCCCATCAAACAAGCTTCGTTCCCGACCGCCAGATAATCGATAACATACTAGTTTATCAAGAAATTCTCAACTCCATGAGGCACAAGAAAGGATCTTCGGGATGGATGATAATGAAGGTCGACCTAGAAAAGGCGTACGATAGGCTAAGCTGGGATTTCATTGAAGACACTCTAAAGGATATTGGACTTAGCAACAGCTGGGTGAGGAACATTATGACCTGCGTATCAACATCCAGGCTTTCAACAGTATGGAATAACCATCAATCCGATTGGTTTAAACCGGAGCGCGGAATTCGCCAGGGAGATCCGATTTCCCCTCTCTTATTCGTCCTTTGTATAGAAAGATTTAGTCATTTGATTAGAGAGTCCGTAATGATAGGCAGGTGGAAGGGATTTAAAGCTAATAACAGTGCTCCTCTAATTACACATCTTTTTTTTGCAGATGATATGGTACTTGTTGGAGAAGCATCAATTCGGCAAGCTATGGAGATGAAGGCCTGCCTTGATAGGTTCTGCAACAACTCTGGTCAGAAAGTTAACTTGCTGAAATCTGCCATTTATTTTTCCAGAAACATTCCTGAAGAACGACAGCTAGAGATCGAACGCTTCATTGGAGTTCTGAGAGTGTCAGACCTTGGCAAGTATCTAGGTGTGCCCTCAATACATGGAAGGTTGAAAAACGAGACCTTCGCAGGCATCCTAGAGAGAGTTCAGTCAAGATTAGCAGGTTGGAGAACTCGCACCCTCTCCTTAGCTGGAAGACTGAGCCTCGCAAAATCAGTCCTTTCAACTATACCCTATTACACGATGCAATCCACACTCCTGCCGGCTGGTATAATTTCAGCAATTGAAAGACTAGTCCGAAAATTCTTATGGGTGGTAATGAGGATGCGAGAAGTTGCCACCTCATCAATTGGAATACGGTAACCAAAGATAAAGCAGATGGCGGACTGGGCATAAGGAGCTTAGAGCAAATGAACTTGGCTTTCATGGCGAAACTAGGATGGAGATTGGCCCAGAACGAAGATACTCTCTGGGTTCACCTTTTTAGAGCCAAATATGCAGTGAGTTCCTCTAGATTCTCGGATTGGTCCCTAAAACCCAACATGTCGAATGCCTGGAAGGGGATCCTTAAAGCAGCCCCAATCCTGCAAAAGGGCATCAAGAAGTACGTCAAGAATGGAAAAGATACGAGCTTCTGGTCTAACATCTGGTTAGAAGACCACCCGTTACTTCAAGAGGCACTGTCCCTTGTTCCACAAGATGATCTGTTTAAAACAGTAGCTGATTACTGGGCTCCCAACGAAGGCTGGAAGTGGGGTGCAATTGAAGGATTGCTTCCTGAAGAGACTCTCAACAAGATTGCAGCCACATTCATTTGCCACGACCACGAGACCAATGACTTTGTAGGCTAGTCCAAGGAAAATAGCGGTTCTTTCTCGGTCAGTTCAGCCTATGACCTAGCTTCACACCGGAACTCAGCACCGCAGGCAGCAAAATGGAATAATATATGGAAACTGAAGGTGCCCAGTCGAATCTCCACTTTTTTTATTGCTAGCTAAGCACGAAAGGCTTATGACTAACAACAACAGAGTGAGGCGCGGCTTTGCTTCATGTGACAAATGTTGGTTTTGTAGAGATGTGATAGAGGACACGGACCACGTTCTACGCAGGTGTCCGCTAGCTGATTCAATCTGGAGAGCCATCGCCCCTGCTCAGCCCTCTGATTCTAACGAAGATAATTTCCAGAATTGGTTAGACACAGGTATCGCAGGTTGGAACACAGGTAGAAGCCCCCTCAGCTCAAGCACATTGTTCGCTGTGACTTGCTGGTGGCTTTGGAAGTGGCGCAACGAGGCCATTTTCAGGAACTCTTTGAAACCACTAACAGCTAAAGTTGCTTGGATCAAGGACCAAGTTGAAGAAGTTTTCAAAGCTTTCACCAGGGCTAAGGGCGTTAAACCAAATCTAGCGGCTTCCAGATGGAACTTGGTCAAATGGGACAAACCGGACGAAGGCCGAATCAAGATCAATGTTGACGGGGCGGTGGACCTTTAGACGGGTAAAACTGGCTGTGGTGGTGTTATAAGAGACTGGAATGGACAATGGCTCGGAGGCTTCATGACTGGCCTCGGAATTTGCTCACCACTGGTAGCGGAGGCCTGGGCCCTACTGAAAGGTATCCAGTTCGGCCTCTCCAAAGGCTTTTCAAAGTTCGACCTGGAAACTGACTCCAAGGAGATAAAAGAAGGCATTACCGGTAACAACATAAAAGAGGTCATCGCCCAGAATATACTCAGAGCCTGTAAGTTGGAGCTATCCAAAGTCGAAGATTGGTCTATTTCGAATATTCTAAGAGAGCAGGATAGGGTGGCAGATGCACTAGCGGGTACATCTAAAGGTTTACCTAGAGGTCTGCATATCCTCGAGATTCCACCAAATAACATTGGCTTTCTGCTAGATGACGATGCCTACGGTCTTCCGGCCTGGCGTCATGCCATTGTATAAACTTCTTGTTACTTCCTTTCGGGTTTCCCCCTTCCGACTTATATAAAAATGTTAATAAATAATTTATATTTTGGTACATTAATTTCGGCCAATTAGTATATTGAATTAATTTTTTTAATTAATTTTGAATCTTTCCCGCACGAACTACGTACACAACAAAGTCTTATAAATAATTTTAAGATTATTTTTTAATGTAAATTAAACCTAAACTCGTCTCTGCTTTCTTGTCACTTTGTTTTGCATTACTTGCAATTGCAAGGGTTGCATGTGCAGTTGTCCCAACACTTGCCCCCATTCTCAGTTGCGACCTCCCCCATCAAAGATCCCTTCAAGTCGCTACAAAACACAAACAATTCATTAACCACTGAAATCCTTAATCCAAAAAAAAAAAAAAAAAATGTAAAACTCTAGAAAGATACTTACGCTTTCATGGGTGCAACACTAAGAACCAGGGTCTTAGTGGCGGCCTCAGAATTGTTCATGTATGGGTACATCTTAAGAGTGACGATGATTAACACATTAATTTTGCTTCACAAAATAAAATTATGAATTCTTACTAGGCGGTGGAAAAAAGGGATGAGAGAGTCACCAGTGCTATGATTTCACAGTAAACGGGAAGAAGAGGGTTGCATTGCTAAATGAAGAATTATGATTTTTTTTGAAGGGAAAATTATGATTTTTTTAGTCACCAATTCATTGTATTTATATACTAGTTTTTTTTTTACGCGCATTGCGCGAATGGGATAATGCCCAATAATTATTTTTAAATAAGCACTTCAAAGTATATCAATGCAATATTATATAGGCGATGTTCTTGCATAGGTAATTGAATGTTGAATTTGTTTAAAGTATATAAATGCACTGTTGCAAAAATCGCGCCTAGGCGCTAGGCGCCCGGCTAGGCGCTCTAGGCGCCCTAGGCGGTCCCCAGGCGCCTAGAGGGCGCCTAGCGATTTTTTCAACATTGTATAAATGTAAGATAATATATGAGAGAATGATTATAATTGTCACTAAAATAAATGTTTGCAATTTTGTAATAACGCTAGTCTAAATACTTAGTCTAAAAGCGATAGTCTAAATAAATACTACTTTTGGTTTAAATTTCTCTAAGTCTTCTTAATTCTCTTTTGGGTAGCATAATAGCATTATCACTGTCTTCATCTTCAGTACATGTCATGTCCTCTCTTTTTTTAGTGGTAGTATGCCTTGTGCAATTGGGTTACTGATGGTAGCACAGAGGGCATCATCATGCAATGAGATTATGATGTTGGAAGTTTTAGATTTTTCTTGTTGTGTATATGACTGCGATCTTAGTTGGACTATGAACTCTTTATCTTACAAGTGCATATTGATATTTGGTAGTGGTAGTTTTTCCCTAAATGTTTCATGTGTTGTGAGATGTGTGTCATAGATTATCATGTGAAAGTATTGAACAAAATATTAACATTTATTATATTTCTAAAAAATACTTAGTAAATAAATATATAACATATTTTGTATTATAACTTTGATATTTAATTACAACATAATGTAAAAAGAAGACAATGAGCAATGTAATGAATATAATTAATTAATGAATTTGAATTTAATGTAAGGAATCTTTGAATCGTAGAAGATAAATATTTTTTTAAGGTTGTAGAAAATAAATATAATATAACTAATGAAATTATATCTCTTTTTAAATTTTTTAGGAATAAGGTTCAAATTGGCCACTGAACGTAACCTGAAAGTGCAATTAGGCCACTGAACGAAAAAAAAATGCAATTAGGCCACTGAACACTCCAAAAATGTGTAATTTCACCTGATAGCAGGTTACTCTCAATTTTAGCAGGTTATCTGCTTACGTGGCAGCTGAGTTGGCATTTTTAATAAATTTTAATTAATTTTTAATAAATTTTAATAATAACTTTTTATTATTTTTTTTTAAAAAAAAAATAAAAATGACTTTATTTTATTTTTTATTTAATTTTTTCCAATTTTTTATAAAATTTATTATTAAAATTAATTATTAAAAATTATTTAAAAATTATTAAAAATGCCAACTAAGCTGCCACGTAAGCAGGTAACCTGCTATCCGGTAAAATTGCATACGTTTGGAGAGTTCAGTGACCTAATTGCACATTTTTTGAGTGTTCAATGGCCTAATTGCACTTTTTTTTCGTTCAATGGCCTAATTGCATTTTCAGGTTACGTTCAGTGGCCAATTTGAACCTTATTCCAATTTTTTATAATGAATATTTTTTTAATAATGACATTATAGACTCTAATTCTAAATTAATTAAATGCATATGTATTATTTTTTGTTGTAGCTACCAATTTATTTAATTTAATACGAGTAATAAAGTGACGTATATACTTTTCATCAACAACATTAAAGTCATTGATTTTTTTAATTTACATTCGTTGTTGAGACAAATTGTTTTGGGAGTTTGTCAATGAAAATTGCTACAATTGCTGTAAATAGATGATGATAATAAATAATTCAAAATATATTGTTACAATATATATTTTTATAATGATATAATAAAAATTAACTTACAAATTTTTTTAGAAGCTTTCATACATTGATAAAATTCTAAGAACGATGTGTAAACTTGTTCAATTTGAGCTAGTGGGATGTAACATTTTCAATTCTTTGGAAAATTGTCCTATCGTTTTAGAGTCCAAATGTAATTGTATTTCTGATCAACAACTTTGTAATTAGGCCGCGCAGCTCTGACAATGATGTAAGAACAATTTTGTCCGATAAAAAAATAATAGTATAATATTTGTAAATTAATGTACAATTGTACCGTTATAAAAAGACATACAAAAAAATATTAATACCATAATGACCTAAATCATTCCAATAATGCAAAAAGTATAACTGAAATATTGAGTTTTGTTCTAAATAATCAAACAAAGATTAATTAAACGGAAAAAAAAATGTAACCTAAATTTGTTTTTTTTTTTAAATGCAAGAAAATGATTTTCAAAGTTCACGATTTATAATTTTTGATGCTCAACTTTGAATGTTTTGTATTTAGTCGGGCTAATTATTTGACCAAAATTTATATTAAATTTTATATTTATTTATTTTTTAATACTCTGTATATTTTAACATATTCGTGGTATATATTTAACAATTATGCCAACTCTGATTGGGATGAGATTCGAACCTAAGACCTTTCTTATAGAAAATAATGAGTAAGTTAAGAATAATAAATAGTTTCAGTGGACAGTATTTGGTAGAAGAGACCAATGTTCGAACATCGGCGACGGCAGTGTGGGAATTATGTCCAAAGTGGGCAGATTCCTTGTGCGCACCGGCATTTTGGCCCTGTCCGCTGAACCCATTGAGTCACCGTGATTTACATCCTCCCAAATACTCTGTCGGGCCGGGGTGTGGGAGCCCTTAGGGTTGGGGATTCAGCCTTTTGGGAGAAGAATAATAAATAGTTAACGGAATATTCCGTTACTAAAGTTTATACTAACGGAATCTAGGGTTATTTAAAGGAAGAAAATAATATAATAGAGGGTAAATAAGAAAAATCATAAAAAAATACTAAAATTAAAATAATATGAATCATTCATTTCAAGAAACAATCACACCAACATTTTTTTGTTCCCGTTAAAAGTCTAACATTATTGGCTCTTATTAGATTTGTAGATAGATAGGTGAAAAATGTGAGAATTATAAATTTGTATGATTTTTCAAAAGGAAAGTGTAACATTTATTTAAGGTCTTTAAATACTAATCCTAAATGACACTTTTGTCCAATAATATGTTGATATTACTAAATTTGTCTTTGAGTTTGGATGAGAAAATTTCACAATCACTTATGTTATTATATATACTACTAGTAATTCACCCGCGCGATGCACGGGAAAAAAATTATGTTATTATAAATATAAATAAAAAATAGAAAAACTAAAATATTGTAATTATTTAATATAATAATATTTTTGAGCTTCCATTGGTCAAGTATTTATTATTTTTATAGAATACAAAATTACAATTAAAATTAAAATTAAAATTAAAATTTTGTATGATTAATATAATCTCTAATTATGTGCATATTCAAATAAACTTATAGAGATAATTTACATAATTACATTGATTTATTATTAATTGTATTTCATCTATATTATAATTTTCACAATACAAATAATAACTAAGATAATTACATTTGGAAAGCAAATTTCAAATTTTGTATGTGTAAATTTAAACTCTAATTGAACACATTTTTTATATGATTATATAATATATAGCTATTTTATTTTTCAAAAGTATATTTTTTATATGATTATATAATATATAGCTATTTTATTTTTTTAAATGTTGTGTTTTTTTTTTTTAATAATAAAGGATGTTGTGGCATTAATTGTAACATTAATTATTTCCCAAACCATATAACTTTATTTGATAAAGGATTATAGCACCCGTGCGATGCACGGATAATAACATATATTCAATAATTAAATTCTTTATCAAATTTAAATAGTGTAAATAAATAAATACTCAAATATTATATAATATTCTAACAATATCTTATTATAATAAAGTATGCGTAGTACCTAATATCAAAATTTGCTTTATAATGACTTAGAGTTGGGATTAAATTAAAAAAAAAAATTATCATATACCCATCACTTGTCAAACTACAAAAATACCATGGGCATACAGAGAGGACTATACCAAAAAAAACAAAAAAAAAAAAAAACACAAAGGCTGAACCTAATCCGTGGGTATTTATAAGCAAGCTAAGGGACATCTAACAGCTAGAGTGCAAAGTGACTTTGCTAGACAGAAATTTTGAATTTGAAAATTTTAGTTAAATGTAGTGTCAACACAACAAATAATGTATTTGGCTGCCCAAAAGTATTAGAATTTGCATATACTAAACTATTACACTAAATATAATGTAATATTAGTAAATGCGGGCTATGTGAAGTGTTTAAGGTTTCCAGGATAATATATTTCTTTAGTAAATGCAGGTCATGCGTGTTGCTTCCATGGT